ATTCCTTTCATATGAGATCATAAACCAAGGTGTTGCCTGTTCAAATGAACATAAAAGATTATGTGATAATTACTTGAAGAAAAACATTGTGGTATCCTGGCAATATTTGTGTTTCAATCAAAGTAATCAAAAAGGAATTAACTGATCATTCACAGCATTTACTGTCTATGGCATCTCGCTGTGTGAAAATTCACATATAGTATATTTTTTGCCTATGAATCAACAGCAACATGAGTCACAACAGTCTTAAATGTGATTGGAACTCACTCACATGTAATAAAGGTGCCTATATGTTCATTGTCTAAGCTCATGTCAGCAATTGACACTTGTACTGTTCTAAAGATCTAAATACTGGGAAAACGTGCCTAAGCATTGCCTCACAATGCACCTTAAATCTAACTTCATGGAAATAAGTACAATCCCTCTACTTCCTACAGAAACATTCTTGACCTCATTGATGTTATAAAAATATTCCAAATTATCAGGCATGTAGCCATTGAGATAAGATTTCCAAAGTTATTTCTCTTCAACCTTTACAGCAGACAGCACAGAGGGCTTATACATGATCAGTTTGAATTGATCGAATCTAGGGTTTCTGATTGTTCAAAACCATGGACTCCTTTAAGTCTCTCTGGAGGCTTTTCTGTAAATATGATGAATATAATCTGAACTGTTTATTCAGGAATAATGAGAACAAACAAACTTTGCATAGTATCACAAAAATTTATTTCAAATATCTTAAAATACTGCATTGGAAAAACTTTTGTTTTACAGAGGTTTTGTGTTGACATTCTGCATGGTTGAGATTAAATTACAATATAAAAAAATGCTGTCAGAGACATGGCCCCATATTTCACTTCAAATAAATAGGATCTTATATCTGTAAAGGATGAGATTGATAAAAATAAATAAATAACTTAACTATAATAAATACTTTGCCTAATAAGTTTCTTTAATGCATAGAGATGCATAGCATCCAACATGGCTGGCTTGCACTCAAAACATCTGTTTGAACCATGTGTTCATGTGAGCGAATTGGTTGATGGCCTTTCACCTTAATGTTTCTCATAAACCATTCACTTCAATGGAATTTTTTTAAAAAAACAAAAAATCCTCTTTTGTTGAGTGCTAGCTGATAACTATTTTAAAGTCTTTGCAATATAGTGATAATTTTAGAGTTTCAGTGTTGGATGCTACATTTAACCTGTTTCACCTGCGCACGTTTTGTTTGATTGATTTATTGTCACGTGTACCGAAGTACAGTGAAAAGCTTTGTTTATGAGCAAAATGACCAAATATAAAATTGTGTGCTGTACATGAAACTGCAATGGTATAGAAATGTGCCAAAAGACTACTTCACCCAACAGACCCTTTAAATGCACTAATGTGCAGACATAAGTCTGTTATCAGTTTTTAACTGGCATGTGACCCTGCTCCATCAATGGCTCTATATTTCACTTATTGATAGTGAGTAGCTAGGTGGCATTCAATGGATTTTAGTGCCTGTTTGACGGTTATGGTGTGGTTGGATAAGGTTCTCATTCCCATCACCCAACCATGAAATACGGTCAAAGTCCCAATTTTGCCACCCACCAAAAAGCAAAAACCATTAAAACCGGAAAACTACAATTCATTTCCAAGTGTTACGGTTTTTTAAAATATTTTGTTTTCCTCTGGACGGTGAAAGCTGTCAAACAGAGGTAAGGTGTTTCTAAATGGAACAGTGAGTGACCATGAGCAAGAGTGAGACAGACACCCAAACTCCCTTTGTACACCCTCTCTCAAACAGATGGAGGAACTGAAATGGCTGTCTAGCCACAATGATGGAGAGGGGAGAAATCATTAAACAAAAAAAATGCAGTCATATTTTCAAAAACATCAGTAAATAAGACATCCCTTTAGCAAATATCACAACAAGAACCAGTGATACAAATAACACTCATGCACGAAACAGATTTGTTATTAAAATCATAAGGGGTGAAATTCCATTTTAGCATCAATGCAAGACATAAATAATGAATTGACCAGATGCTCTGCCTGATTTCACTTCCAACAAGAAAATTTGGTCAGAGTATGCAACAGGCAGCCATTCCACCACCCCGATTTCGTGGTTGTGTTATCAACAACATGTTGCAAATCAGAAGGAATTTTACCTGCTTCAGTTCTATAAAAGCCACTGAATTGGAATTCAGCACTTATTTTGAGATCAGAGATTTCCCCATCAGTATCATATTCAACTTAAACTGAAAACATTGATCAAGCTGCCTTATTTCGTGGTCAGACTACTGAATTAAATGCCAGTCTTTGGACCTCTGTATTTTTCCTTTGATCCAATCAGGCTGCCATATAATTTAATGTTAAAGTGAATAGAAATTCCACTGTCTCTATCATAGCTGCATTGAATTATTTAAAAAGCAGAAATGCTCTAGGCCAAGAATTACTGAAGGGACTTTGTTGTCAAAGTTTCTCTGTGTAGCCTGCTTTGCAACATATACATTCTCAACTGTTATTCTGTTAATATAGTACTTAATACTCAGTCACAGAGCAGCATTGAGGTGTTCACATACAAAACATGACATTTGTATCTTAGGGATATGCATTTTGCAAAGCATTTTTTTGAGGGAGAAGACTGTAGGGATTCTATGATGTGATTCATTTTATGACTTATAAGTGCTCTCATTAAATAAACAAATACTGGCATAGTGGTGGTTGAAAAATGTGTTGCTTGCTTTTGTTCTTTTCATCCTCATTCAATTATTCTAGTTGACCATACAGACCTATTTGCTTTCAGGAAGGGAAATACCACTGGAATAGCTCCAGGATCTTTATATTTTCTTTGTGAGTGTATTGTATTGTTTTCCTGCTTGATGTTCAAGGAATTTTGCTGTATTCAGAGTTGCTGTTTCATATGCCTGGACTGATCTCTGCAAATAACTCAATACATGTGACATATTCATGTGTTTCTGAGAGACATAAGATATGATATAAATGCAAGCATTACTTTTCCCATTCTCAAACTTAATAAAACTATCATCTACAGACTATTTCTCTTTGATTAGATACACCATAGATGATACTTATGTGGCAAAGAAAAAAATTTGAAAATCAATATTGTTAAATGGCAGGCTATTTATATGGTCCATTGACTACATTCAACTTATTAAGAGTTCTATAGTATTGAATTTAATCATACCATTATAGGTGGTTCTGCTTTCAGTTGCACAGGCCCTAAGCTCCATGTCACAAACCAGCTCTTTTCAAATGAATATATGAATTATTACAAGTGGAATGGAGATCTTCTCAGTGTCATATCCCCATATCAGAGACGATATGCAATAATGCTCTTGAAAAGGATTAATTCTATAACTGGTCACTGCCAATTTTAGTACTGGGCATGAAATTATTATGTTTATTTTTAGATCTGGATTGCACATTGCCATGCTAACTATTTGGTTCCAAAGAGTGAATATGAATCCAACTAAGGTACTATATCAAATTTTCACAAGTTGCAATTAACAGAACAAAATAAGAATGAGAGGAATTTTTCCATTGACGCAATCGTGAGGCCTGTTGGGAAAAAAAGGCACTGAAGACTTACAAGTAATAAGAAGAAGAAATTGTTATTTAACTTTCATATAGTCTCAGCAGGTATGAAATTCTTAGGTGGCAACTGATGTGACAATGCTTTCTTTGATGAATATTAAGTCTATTCAATGGAATGTAAAAGGACAACTTAACAAATTTTTTTTATGTTTGATCCCAGATTTATTGTAAGCACAGTTAATATAGGTTTGAAGTTCTTTAGAACTCCTAATAGGTTTCTGCCAGTTATTTGTCCTTACTTCAACGCAACCCTTGGGGGAAAGATTAATTTCCCACATTATCCAGTAAGATCTTTCTGAGAACAAGCAATTAAAGTAGTTGGGTGATTTGTGTAATATCTATTAAGAACTAGACTCAGACTGAGTAATTTCATTATAACTACTAAAGCCAGTAAATAAAAGGAGAAGAGTCAACTAAACCACCATCCGTAATGAAAAAAAACGACCCAGAGATGATTGATCATCTACAACAGCAGGGTATTATGTGAAAGCGTACTGCCATGGTTTATAGGTGATGTTACAACAATTAGATCAACTGAAGGTTTCAATGGTCGCTTTGTAACCTGCTGTTATTTTGCAAGATATGTAACTTTAAATAGAATTAAGGTGCGAGTCTGATTACAGCATAGGTCAAGGGAGACGTGTAATCTAAAGGCAAAAGAACAGTAAACAAGATAGGGAGCCAATAAATAAAGTTAGGAGGTATAATTGGAAAACTTCTAAGATTTAGTTTAAGCTCAATGCAAAACACCCGTGTGCTCCATTAACTACCCATTCCACTTAAATATACTGAATTTAAAACACACCCAAAGAATCAAACAAAAGAAGACTGAAGTTAAAATGCCTTGAATTATTGTCTTTAGCAGATCTGTGGGAGCTCAAAACAGGCCATTGGTTGTGACTTTGGAGAAGACCAGAAGATATTATTGTGACAAAGATAGTTGAGAGGCAAAACGTAAAAGAATTCAGGATGAGCACTATTGGTGTAAGGTATATCAGGACATTAATAAGCTTTTGCTTATTAAAGTTTCACAGCATTCTGGTTGTCCATAAACATACTGACTCTGTTCCTGCATGGATACAAATCACTGTGGCTCATATTGTGAACAAAGCAAGATTAATATTATGTTTAGAAGCTGGCATGCAAACTAAATGTACGCTTGAAACCCTTAATAGTCTTCTTTAACAGATATAAGTATTAGCTGTTAATAAAATTGCTTAGGTATATGAATGTTTTCATTTCTCATTTAAGCTAGCTTTCTCCATTCTTATTTGAAAGCAAATTTGATAAATTGTTTTGTAAGGGATCTAACAAACTGATTATTATTTGAAAATTCACACATACATTATTTCTGCAATACTTCATAAAAGGGGACAGATGGCAGATTTAGCTCCTTCAACAATCCACTATGTAGTATCAGAACACTAGTCAGTGTAATAATAGTTTAGAACATACTCTCTTAAATATTTTACCAGGTATCATAATTTCATGAAAAGGCAGTCTATAACTGAACTTTGCCCTGTTCCAATTAAAAATGATTGAAGTTTCCATATGTGCACACGATATAACTTGAAGAGAAATGATCCTGACTAAAACCAATATTTGGTTTCAGTTATTTAGTATGTGCACCACATACCTTGTAATATGTTTCAATATGTTTGCCATTTCTACCTTTGATGAACTGCATCATCGTTTCAATGAAAGAAAACCATACACATAAGATAATGTTGGAAAAAGATAATAGTAAATCAATGAATGAACGGCATTAAGGTGTCTCTCCATATGCATAAGATGCAGTGTTACAGAGTTCAGATCACCGTATGGAAATGGCTCCAAACTCTATTCTTTGAAGAGTTTCCAATATGCACAGTGAGGTCTTTGAATACTTTTAGAGAATTAATAGGGTCTCCAATCTCTTAAAAAGTGGGATAGGAGTGAAGACTAAATAAACAATAACCAGGGAGCTTCAGTTCTATGTTGTATAAATACTTATACACACATGCGTATATATCCACTCTGGTTAAAAAGAAATATTAATGGCTATGAATGAGTATACAAGGTTGAGATCCAAACAAGACAAAGCTTGGGAGGTTGGGAAAGAGGAAACCATTGTTCTGGAACATTCTCAGTTTCTCTGAGATAATGCCATACATTTCTTGCTGTGAATTGCTGATGTTTTACTTTGCAATTTCACGTGATTTTTCTCAGTTAAGAACTTTGACAGCCCTGAAGAATCTTCCTTTTGAGAGTTCAGCATAGTTTCATAGAGGTAATCATGCTTTCTCCACTTTCGATATTCATTGCATTCCATTAAAATAAATGTCGCACATTGATATAGCTGAAGCAAATTTGCTTTTTCCAGATAAAATTTAATGGCTCTTCCATTTCTGGGATTACGTTGTGAATCCTTGTTGAAGAAGCAAATGCTTTTGACTACAAGATATTTGTTGAAAAAAAAATTCTTTCTCGGAGGATAATTCCATGTCATTTCTTTTGAAGAACATTTTAAAAGCTCCATGTATCTTTACTGTGACTTTTGCATATTCCATTCAAAAACTGTACATTGATATGTTTATTTCTGAAGAGCTTCATGGCATTCTTCCAAGAAAAACATTATGCAGAACTTTTTAGTGGTCATACCATACTCCGCACAATATAAAACTTGGTGTATTCCTCTGAACAGAACAAATCCAGTGCATTCCTGTCATCTTAACACGGAGAAATCTTGGCAGTATTTTCACCTGAGGAATGACATGTACTGTTATATTTTACTGTATTGTCTGTAAAGAGCTAGGAACTGATTAGCTGCGAACCAATTATGGTGAGCAAGGGTGCCGGAGGCCACAAACACAGCTACATTAGACAGTCATGTGATAATGTAAAAAGACACTGGCCTAAAACAGTCATCTTATTAGACAGCATTAAAAACAAAGGGTTTTAACTTTTCAAGTCTTAAGTGATTTTTCTAACATATAGGAACCAGAAGACATAAAATCTTGGGAGTAAATGCCTGTAAGTAAACATAAAACATTTTAAGTTAATTTAGTGTGAACCAGGAACATTGTGCCAAGGAGAGAAAGAAAAACTGAGTGTACCACATGAAAATGAAAAATTGGAATGTCGACTATACAGCAATGAATTCCCAGCCACTGCCTGTAATGAACTGGAATTCTGATGATGTCATGAAGGCATTTGGGAAAACTAAATAAAAGTTAAATACTGCGGACATTGGAGATCTGAAATAAATAAAAAGAGAAGATGCTAGAGAAACTCAACAGGTCTAGCAGCATCTGTGGAGAGAGAAAGAGAGTTAACATTTCAAGTCTTACATGACTATTTTGCGGTTCCGAAGAAAAGTCATATCGGACTCGAAACATTAATCGTCTCTCTCCACAAATGCTGCCAGATCTGCTGAGCTTCTCCAGCATTTTCTCTTTTCATATTAAACAAAAGTGCAGATTGGCACAGTGTTAAATAGCTGGGGAGCTTACTAAACAGGACAACATGATTCAGCACCCATCTCTAAACAAATTCAGATCATTAGATCTCCCAGTATGAATTTCAAGGCCCCAGACTAGAGATAGGTGAGCCTATTGACAACTTTGCAACAAGATTCAAAAATTCAGCCAGAAAATGTAAGCCCAAAAATACACACGAAAGGCTGATGGATCAGTTAATTTGTATGCTGCACATCCTGAAGTACAGAAACTGTTAATCAGAAAGAAGCTAATCTTCAGTTAAGCCTAGAGAAAGATAGCATCATCAGTGTAGTTAAACAGCAAGAGAAGATTGTATTAAAAAACACATGTGCAGTATCTGAGGGCGATCACATGAATTCACAGATAGAAGGAAAAGTTCCACATATGGATCAAACTGCAGAGCTGTTGGAAAGGTCAATCACTGGGAAAAGATCTGCAGAGCAAATGAAGGAGGTGATAAATGAGTCACCCAAACCAGAGCAACAGGGAAATTGTGTAGGGAGAAAAAACATTCAAACTCTGGACGATACCAGTGAGTTTGAGAACATGTCAGACATAGAAATTATACAACGGCATAAAATATCTGAATATGACATTTGTCAGAAAAACAGAATTCGTACTATAATTCAGATCAGGAGAGGATGAGAAATAAGGTGACAATCATAAACCTGAGTTGATCATAAACCTGAGTTGAATAGCATCATCCTTCACAGACTATATGAGATAATTCCTGAAAATTTGCAAGAAAACATTTATCCAAAAAAGGCATTCTGAAAGTGAACAACATCATGTCAACAGCATATGAGGGAATGTGATTCAGCAGCTAAGAACAACCTGAATCAAAGGCACGTACAAAATGTTAGCTATTTGTTTCATGACACTGAAACAGATGGTTTTGCTATCCTGGAGTTGCACAGTTATGAAGGGCTGCAGATTACCTCAGTGAACCACAGTTTAAGGAGAAAGCATCGACGGTTGAAGATAGTACACCTAAGATAAAGCATCTCTGATCAGATGCAAAGAAGTTCTGGTACAAATGTATCCAGTGTGTTTTGATAAAAGGTAGGGTGCTTTGAAGATTTGGAGTATCACATTGCCTGTGACTTAGTGATGAAACCAGTAATTCATTGCCGCTCATGAATTACTCACGGAACTAAAAGTAAATCTGAAAAGAGAGCTCCATTTAATGGAAGCAAAGAAAGTGATGGGAGAGTCTCGGAGCAGACTGAATGGATGAAAGAGAAGCAAAATGGACAGCTAAGAATTTGCCTATATCCCAATGACCTTAACCAATCCATAAAGAGGGATCACTAAAATAAAAGCAAAATACTGCACCTAACCCGAACCCTAACCCACCCTGACCCATTCTGTGGTTGCTGGAAATCTGAAACACACAGAAAATGCTGGAGAAACTCAGCAGGTCTGGCGATAATGGAGGAGAGAGAAACAGAATTAATGTTTCAAGTCCACTGTGACTCTTCTTCAGTACAAGTGGGATGACCACACCATTCTAACACTGAAAGAGATCCCATCAGCATTAGCCAAGGCAAAAGCTTTCAGGAGGTTTTAGAACCTGAAGCTAAAAATGGAATTTTTGCCATTGACAACATTCAATAAACCCCATGAATGGTATAAATTCCTCAGATACCTTTAGCCTTAAAGTAAGCTAGAATGAGTTCCAGGAAAAAGTAAACAAAACCTATAAGGAATGCAAAGGTGCAGTCAGCAGAGCAGTTAATATCCAGATGTATGATGTAGTTGAGAAAGATCATGAAAGCCATCTACATCAGGAAAGTTGGGACTGAGTTAAATGCAGATAAATGCATTGCGAAAGTGACAGAATGCCACTTCTACCCACCTGACAGAACCAAGTCAAGACCTGAAAGTATCATGGCTACTTCTGGGATGGAAGCGCCAAGGGATAAAAGAGAGTTATGAAGTTTTATTGGCTTGCTCCTTCACACCACGAATGCTAGAACAGACAGCAAACCTGCAGGAGCTAATGAAAGGTGATGTAGACTATCAATGGTCAGAATCACATGACAGGAGTTTCAACAAACTCAAAATGCTAATCTGCCAGGAGACAAAGTCTGTCAAATAACAACAGAAAGAAAACTGTCACTCTGCAACTGGATGCTTTTATAAAAGGACTGGGAACAGCCCTGGTACAAGAGGGAAAGTCCACGATATTCATGTCCAAAGCCCCAACCTCAGCTGAATCCAGTCTGCCAACGAAGAGAGCTTTTGGCTGTTATGTTTGGATGTCAGAAGTTCTGTACATTTCTCTACAGGAGAAACTTCATGGTGGAGAGTGATCACTGCCTGCTGGAGCAGATCCACATGATACATTTGTGTATCACACTAACAAGAATTCAGAGGTAACTCATGAGGCTTGTTACAAATTCACTCTGAAATTCAAGCCAGGGAGAGATATACTGCTTCCAGAAACCCTATCTCAGTTGTTGCCATAGGGGGAGCAGGAGATAGAAAATCTAGTTAGAAAGATTCATCATCTAGTGAATGTAGCATGACTTAAACTGAGTCAAATCAGAGATGGGTCCAGCTACAGATGCTCTCTCAGGAAGTGGTCCTGAGATGGTCTGACAAGATGCAGCAAGCACAGCCAGCAAAGTGTCATTACTGCCCAGTCAAAGAAGACATCGTACCGTAAGATAGATCTCTACTAACTGGATCCAGAATAATCATACTCAAAACAATGCAGGAAGGACTTCTCCAGGAGACACATGAAGACCACATGGGAATGGAGAAGTGTAAACCCAAAGCCAGATGAACTGTGCACTGGACAGGCATGTACAAAGACACTGAAAATATGATATCTACATTCCAACATAGGCCAAAAATGAAGGAACACATGGCAGAAGGTGGCTAGTAAAGTACTACACAGACTGTGGCATGCCATAGGGGCTGATTTGTTCGCATGCAATTAAGAACGGTACCTTAGAGTCACACACTACTATTCAAAGTTACCTTTTATACAGAAGGTGAAAGACTTGAGAATCACAACAACCATTTCTGCAGTATGAGTTCTGTCTGCTGAGCAGGGAATTCCAGAAATATTAATAAACAACACTCGAACCCAGCTCACATCCAGAGAATTTAAGAAATTTACCGAAGAGTATGGGTTCAACATCATCACCTGATCACTATTCTTCCCTCAAGAAAATGGGTTGACAGAAAGCCATATTTCGACTGTGAAAATAATCCCTATGAAATAATGAGAGACCCAAACTGTGCCTTATTGTCACTCTGATCCAAACCCCTCCAGGCTAACACCTGCGGAGTTATTAAATTGAAGACTGTTTTGCCAAGCAAAATATATTCCCAAGGAGAAAGTGAGGCAACATTTCACTGAAGCACAGAAATAGGAGGTCAACACTTCAACAAACATGCCAAATCTCCTCCTGAGCTGTTGAAAGGACAAACTACATGTACAGGGTCCAATCATTAAAACCCAGAGTCCAGGAAAAGCTATTGCAAAGCTGAGTCCCCACAGTCATATATAATTGTGACCAAAACGGTAAGCAAATGAGAAGAAAACAGTTCATATTCAATCTACCACTGAGCTGGAAAAATGAAAAATATTGCCAACAACAACACTGAAAAAAATCACAACCCAATGGGATAATATTAGCAACAGCAAGCATAATCCTTCAACACCAGAAGCAATGCTCACAACATTGCCTGTGCAGCATGCCAACTCACCACTGAGCACAATGAATGCCAAATCTACAAGATAGAGACACAACATCTTACCACCTGAGTGATGACATGAATTATAAAATATTCTACAAAAGGGGAATACTACAGCAATAGGGGCATTGCATTTTAAAGAAAGAGGGCTGTTTTATATTGTTGTGTTGTCTGTAAAGAGCAAGGAACCAATTAGCTGGGAACATTTGGTACGTAAGTGTAGCATGGGAGCCATATTCATGGCTGCATTGGAAAGTCATGTGACATGTAGCAGGCCATTGGCCTAAAGCAAATTTTGTTACCAACAGCATGGCAATCTGTATTAAACACAAAAAGCTCCAACTTTTCCAAGTCTAAAGTATGATTATTTCCAAAATTTTGGAACCCTCGGAGACATACTACATACTTCTGAGCCATTAAAAGCCTGAAGTTACTGCTAATCTTTAGACCAGAAAACAGAATCAATGTCAAATTCTTTTTGGTTGATTTGTAAGTTTCAGCAAAGGAGCAGCACAGATCAGAACTAAGTCTGGTTCATGGTCCAACTGAAAAATCAGTTACCCTTTGACTCAATCAAATTGAAGTACAGGACCCAGCAATCCACCCCTTCTCTCCTGCACACCCACCCTCATACCCCTATCCCTCCTAATGCTCAAATGTCAACACCACCTTGTTATCTCTGAAAAAAAGTGTTGTACAGACTTGTTACCTTGCCTAGGCCATTGTTCCTCAAAGTGAATGCATTGTCCATAGTGACGAGGCCCATCATCCCTGACACATGCATTCAACTGCAGAGAGATTCGTGACCCTCTGCCACTGGTTTTGCAAATCCAGAAAGGCTACATCTTCGTACTTGCTTGGTCTGCAGCATGGATGATTGATCACTATCTCATCAGTATGAGAAAGAATCCCATTTTTATTTAACAGTTTGGACAGTGTTAGGTCATAATTCGACCGGTACCGTGGACAGTTTCCACTGCAATATTTGAAAAGTACGATCTCATCTGATTTATAACCAAGCCCCAGGTCTTCAACTCTGAGCCTCAAGGTATTGATATGGCATTCACTTTTATTCTTTTTCATTCTTCTGGATCCTCTCCGTCTATTTCTCCGTGAGGGCTTTGCTCGTTCTTTGCCTTTATGTGAACGGCCTGATGATCGTTCATAGCGGCTTCGCACATCCTCTGCAAATTCTCCCAGTCTGTTTAACATTGCAGTCTGATCTATAAAAAGGAGAATTTTAAAATAATACAGAACTATGACTTTTCCATTTAAAATTACAGTATAGACATACTTACCAATTGAGTTTGTTTAATTGACGCATGTTTGTAGCAAATCAATTCCTGTGTAACAATGATTAACGTTGCGTTGTATAAAAGTTATATAATTTACCTGGGTAAACAAAATCCCTCCCAAAATCTTAAGAGTTATGCTCTCAACCATGCCTTGTTATGCAGACGTGGGTTCACATGAGGTCTATAAAGAGCCAAGGGCAGGAGCTGCCATAGGTGCATGGATATATTATGGAGTTGGTGAATGGTGATAGGGTGTAAGGTTTGAGAGCTACTTTGCCTAAAATATAACCAAATAACCTGGACAAAGTGCCAGAGACCTGGAGTAGGTCTTATAATCAGCCCAACTCAGCACTCAATTGCTCCTATGACCACCATCAATCTGCTTCTAGGGTCAGCGTGCCTGTCTGTATTACATCCCTATTCCCCAGAGCAAAGGTAGAACATAAAGGAACACTTTGTACTCAAACTACCTGTCTTGGTTATGAAAATCCAGCCCAATTAAACACTTCAAAGATGTTCTGTCAGTTCTAAGTATTTCCAGCATTTTCTGTTTTTATTTAAAATATAATTGTGTTAGATCTGCGTGCAGTAACAAACTCAGATCCTAAGAATGCTACTACAAATGATGCTGTCACCAAATAAAAATTGTAACTTTTGGAATAATCACACTGTCTGTTTGACAAGCACTGCTTCCTTAGCTACTGGGTTGAATTTGGCTGACAGTATTCTAAATCTTCTCCTGTGTTAATTTTCCTCCTTTTTTTTTAATCTGTCTTATCTCTCATTGCCTTTAGGCTGAATGTTTCACATCTAAAGAGGAAAATGTCTAATTTGTTCTAGGGTTCCGAAAATACTGCCCAGGTTTGTTTCTCTGAGGCACTCAGAAGCAGTGGAAGGATGACACACCCTCAGATTTTAACTCCGTGCTTGTGCTGTATACAAGTGTTGATACTTCCGACTCTGTTTGACTGTCAGTAAAATGTAATTCAGTCATCAATTAGCATTAGCCAATACCCTTCCATTTATAGAAATTGGAACAAAGAAATAACATGCAGACATGAGTGGAAGCCAAACACTTGCAAATGCTTAAAATATAGTCCATAGTGATGTGGTCCATCATCCCTGACATATGCATTCAACTGCAGGGAGATTTGTGACCCTCTGCCACTGGTTTTGCAAATCCAGAAAGGCTACATTTCGTACTTGCTTGGTCTGCAACATGGATGATTGATCACTATCTCATCAGTATAAGAAGGAATCGGTGGAACTCACTTAAACTGCAGATGCTGGAATCCAAGGTAGACAAACAGAAGGCTGGAAGAACACAGCAATCCAGGCAGCATCTGGAGAAAAGGAGCTGTCAACATTTCAGGTATTACCCTTCTTCAGGACAGTCAGGACAATCCTGATGAAGGGTAATACCCTAAACGTTGACTGCTTCTTTCCTATAAGAATGTTAGTTCAAATCTGCTGTTATCATTAACCATTTTATGACCTGTGGTTTCCTCAATTATTTGTATACCCATGGTTATTGTTTCCTATTTTGCCTCATGATTTTAACATGATAGATGAGCCATCCATTTAAAAAACAGTTTGCTATAGACTCCAACTTGCATTATTACCGCAATGTTAAAATTATTCCTTCACACTCAATTGATGATAGTAGATGATGGACAAGTCATTTTTTACAACACTTTTATCAAAGTGTTTTGCCCCACTCTCAAAATATAACCCTTGCTTCATTAGTATGGCATCCTTTAGACAGGATTGACAATCTCCCTAAGTGGCTTTGTGTAAATGATTGGAAAACATAACTAAAGAAAAAAATTAAATGATACTTCAGGCTGTGTTATAGGATGTCATAACTGAATATCTCAAAAACACAGGTATGTTTGTGAACAGTTAGCACAGTACTAGGAACTGTGTTACGCAAGAACAAAAACAGAAATTGCTGGAAAAGCTCAGGTCTGGCAGCATCTGTGGAAAGAAATCAGAGGTAATGGTTCAGGTCGAGCGACCGTTCCTCACAACCTTATGCAAGACCTGGTGAGTTTCTGGGTTCTTTGTTTTTATTTTGTGTTAGGATAAATTGTGAATCAAGATTAATCAGAATGTTTCCAAACTGTACAGAATCTAATTACGTAAAAAGTGACCAAACATCCTTGCACTGGAAAAGAGAAGAATAGATGAAAACTCTATGGTGTTTTAAAATGAAAAGTAGGAAAAAAATAAGGAATTCGACAATGTTGAAGCATAAATTCTTTTTAAGCTAGAGAAGACGCACAAGACTAGACAACAATTTTCCGAGCAACAAGCTAACATTGACAGGCTGCAATAAATCGAGAGATTGGAAAAAAAATTTCTTCCCAGAGATTGTGGGTTAAATAGAAATGGTATAGATGCTATAGGAAGTATAGAAAGGGGGAGGGTGTAAGAGAGGAGGGGAAGTGGCATTTTTGATTAGGGATGACATTATGGTGGTATTTAGGGAGGATATTCCAGGCAGCACGTCCTGGGAAGTTATTTGGGTGGAACTGAGAAATAAGAAAGTGATGGTTACCTTATTGGAATTGTATTATATACCTCCAATAGTTAGCGGGAAATTGAGAAACAAATTTGTAAGGAGATCTTAGTTACCTGTAAGAATATTAGGGTGGTTATGATAGGGGATTTAAACTTTCCAAACATAGACTGGGACTGCCATAGTGTTAAGGGCTTGAATGGAGAGGAATTTGTTAAGTGTGCACAAGAACATTTTCCGATTCAGTATGTGGATGTACCTACTAAAGAAGGTACAAAACTTGTGTGCGTTTTAAGTCTCCTTTCATGAGGAAGAATGCTCTTCCTCTCGAGGGAGTGCTGCAAAGGTCTACCAGGCTGATTCCGGGGACGGTGGGTCTGACATATGAGGAGAGATTGACTAGGTTCGGGTTGTTTTCGCTGGAGTTCAGATGAATGGGGGGATCTCATAGAGACTTATAAAGTTCTAACAGGACTGGACAGGGTAGATGCAGGGAGGATGTTCTCAATGGTGGGTGTGTCCAGAACCAGGGGTCACAGTCTGAGGATTCAGGGTAGACAATTTAGGATGGAGATGAGGAGACATTTCTTCATCTGAAGAGTGGTGAGCCTATGGAATTCAATACCACAGGAAATTGATGCCAAATCATTGAATGTATTCATGAGGCAACTAGATATGGCACTTGGGGCAAATGGGATCAAAGGTTATGGGGAGAAAGCAGGATTAGAATATTGAGTTGGATGATCAGCCATGACCGTGAAGAATGGCAAAACAGGCTTGAAGGTCCAAATGGCTCCTCCTGCTGCTATCTTCTATGTTTCTATGTTGACCTACTCTTGGGAAATAAGGCAGTGCAGGTGATTGAGGTATCAGTGGGGGAGCACTTTGGGGCCAGTGACCATAATTCTATTAGTTTTAAAATAGTGATGAAGAAGGATAGACCTGATCTAAAAGTTAAAGTTCTAAATTAGAAGAAGGCCAATTTTCATGGCATTAGGCAAGAACTTTCAAAAGCTGGTTGGGGGCAGATGTTCACAGGTAAAGGGATGGCTGGAAAATGGGAAGCCTTCAAAAATGAAATAAAAGAGTCCAGAGACAGTATGTTCCTGTTAGGGTGAAGGGTGAGGCTGGTAGGTGTAGGGAATGCTGGATGACTAGAGAAATTGGTTTTGGTTAAGAATGAGAAGAAAGCCTATGTCTGATATAGACAGCAGATGTCGAGTAAATCCTTGGAAGAGTATACAGGCAGGAGGAGTATACTTAAAAGGGAAATTGGGGCATAAAGGGGACATGAGATAGCTTTGGATAATAGGGTTGAGAAGTATCCAAAGGGATTCTACAAATACATTAAGGATAAAAGGGTAACTAGGGAAAGAATAGAGCCCCTTAAAGATCAACAAGGCTGCCTATGTTTGGAACCGCAGGAGATGGGGGAGGTAATAAACGAGTATTTTGCATCAGTGTCTACTGTGGAAAAGGTTATGGTAGATAGACAATGTAGGGAAATAAATAGCAACAGCTTGAAAAATGTCCATATTACAGAGGAGGAGGTGCTGAACATCTTGAAACACATAAAGATGAATAAATCTCTGGGATCTGTGCCCTAGAACTCTGTGGGAAGCTAGAGAAGTGATTGCTAGGCCCCTTGCTGAGATATTTGTATCATCGATAGCCACAGGTGAAGGGCCGGAAGACTGGAGGTTGGCTAACGTGATGCTACTATTTAATTTGGTAAGGAAAAGCCAGGGAACTATAGACCAGTGACAGGTGGGCAGGTTGTTGGAGGGAATCATGAGGGATAGGATTTACATGTATGTGGAAGGGCAAGAGCTGATTAGAGATAGTAGGAACTGCCGATGCTGGAGAATCTGAGATAACAAGGTGTAGAGCTGAATGAACATAGCAGGCCAAGCAGCATCAGAGGAGCAGG